TTGCTGTGAGCTAGGATGACGCCACGGCACTCACTCTAGCCGGGGCAAAAGAGTGAGACTCTGTCTCAAAAAAAAAAAAAGAAGACGAACACAACAGGTGATGTAAACAAGTGATTAGTCAATGAATTTGCAGAATTCTTGCCTCTACAGAAAGTCATCTATCTGACTTTGGACTCAACACTTAGAAGGTTCTCGACACATCAAGACCCACAGGGTTGTATGGGGTTCTGCTCGTTACCACATTATGCACATTTGAGAACAAGAGGACCAATCTTGAGCTGATCAGTCTTTGCTTGTCCTGAGGTGGCTTTAACTGAGTTTTGGGAGAGGCCAGGCCCCTCCTTTGCCCCAGTGTTGAAAGCTTCTCCCGTATATGGGATATAATTGCAGTTGAGACTCTTGATTTATATCCGTGCCAGGTGCAGTGTGGTTGTAACTAGGATATAAATAAGACATTGCATAACTTTGGTCTTAATACGCACAGAGGCCTGTCTTTAAAATGACTGCCAAAATAAGAGATTCCTTGGAAAATAAATATTCTTACTCTATTAATTTTAAAACAAACAGCAGAAGCATATGGAGGTTTTCCCCCCCCAGGAAAAAAAAATAAGCCTTTGGGAAAAATCAACATTAAAACCTCATCCTTGCTGTCTAATTACTCAGTATTGAAATAAAAGTAGACAAAGGTTCCATTCATTTTGAAAAAGTAAAATCATACCTTGGGAAAAAATACCACAGGATGCTAGTGCTAAAATACAAACCATTAAAATATTTTGGCATCAACAATGATTCCATGTTAAAATGCTCTGAATAGAAAGAGCTGAATTTACAAATATTAAGCCTACTAAATAGATTTTTTTAATTCATACCAGGAAATTATATGAAAACAACCCTATCCTTTAGTCCTGGAATACGTGTTAAAATTATTTGGAGTGGAGGGAGAAGGGTACCATGCCATAAAAATCACCAGTTGGGAACTTCAATCGGGAGTATGCTTCCAAGTTTCTAATGTGAATTAACTCAGGAATCAGTTAGCTTTAAGGTTTAAAAGTTTTCCTTTGTCAGGATTTGTGGGTCCCTCATGCCAATACTAATCAATTTTATGATGTCCTCTCCTGCCCGCTTCCCCTCAGAATTATTGGGGGTAGGAAAGAAAGGGGGAAAAAAGGGATAGAAGAGAAGAACCAGGCAGGGACAATAAAGGCAGGAGAGGGGAGCAGAGGAGGGACTTGGAGAGGAGAAGGCCCTCTGCAGTTAGCATGTGAGCCTTTCTAGGGGTTTCTTGTGTTTCTCTGGGTCTCAGAACCAGTTAAAATGCATCCAACAAAGTGCAGAATGGCGGCACCATGCCTCTGCCCCAGGAGACAATCGTTCACTTCGGGTGGTCCATCTGGGTCAGTGCCCAGCACAGCGCCTTACACACTGCAGGTCCTCCGTACTACCTGGGGCATGAAGTGACACTTTGTTCATTGGGGACAGTTTTTGCTGACCCTAGACCAGTGGGTTTCCAAGCACTAAGCCAGCAGCCACATCAGAATCCCACCTGCAGGAGGTCACCTTTGACCCTCCCCATTACACAGTTGGTTTAAACCTGACCTTTCTGGATCAAAGTCACCAATGGTTGCAGATCCGTGCTTGTGCGTGTGCTGCTGCAGAGCCAGCTGTGTGTCCTTGGTGGCCAGAAACTTCTGCTCCAGCAGTTCAAGATGTCCCTGCAGGTGCTCCAGGACCTGTAGCAGTGAAGTCACTGGAATCATTCCCATGCAAACCTTTGTGTGTCGTTCCCCAAGACACAATGTAGGTGTACCCCCCAGTAGTGTCAAGACGAAGCCTCCATCCTTCTCCTGGCAGCGTCAGTTGTTTCGTTTCAGAGTCTGACATCTAAAATATAGACAACCCGAGAGTCTTCTCAACACGACACCCTCACAGCACGGAGCTGGAAAGTACAATCACTGCTGATTTCTCTCTCAGAACCCACTCAGAGGCCTCTGAACCCCCTTAGTGGGACATTCACGATCCTGTTTATTTGAAGAGTGATTTTTAGCTTACGAAGCACTTTCCCGTTCCTCCTTTAACCCCCATATCAATGTTATAAATGTTGCAAAGTAGATTTTATTATCCCAGATTTATGCAGGAGGAACTTGGAGCTCCCAGAAGTGTGTCTGAAGCCACATCGATATTAAAAAGGAACTGAAGTTAGAGGGCCTGGGTCTGAGTGGATGGGGAAGGAACAGCAGGAAGATTTAGCCCAAGCTGTGAATGGGTCTTCCAGATGTCACCATGTGTGGCCTTGTGCAGATAGGTCATGTCGTGAAGATGTGTGACGGCTTCGGCCTCACATCCCCAGGCGCTAAACAGTCCCTGAGCATGGCCTATGTCTGGCCCTGGGCCGGAAGCTTGAGATACAAAAATTGTATCAGGCGTAGTCCCTGGTCTTAGGGATTTTATTTCACTGGGAAAAGAGACTGTGGATTAGTCACCTTTGCCAAGGCTCCATGGAAGGAGTGAGTCTTAAGTCAGCCTTAAAGGATGCGCAGGAGGGCCTGGACCGGGCAGCACGTCTGACGTTGCATAACCAGTACGTAGAACTGGGCCGTCTATCCAAAATCCAAATGCTTTGTGCCGTGTCGTGTTGCTCGGCGGAGGTGGTTCATGGTGGCCCTGTCTGGCCTTCCTGCAACACTGAGCCAAACGGGCCTGAAGCCCTCGGACCGCGGCCGACACCGCCAGGAGCCACCTTCCTCTCGGTCCCAGCAGGAATCCCCACTTACCCTCTAACATCAGGAAGAAACTTCCTGAATCAAGGCCTCTGAAGGCTAGCGCCTTAAATCAGTTCTCTCTGCTCTGCTCAGCCCTTTAAAATTCTATGTTCTGCCAGTCCCTGAAATCCTGGCTTTTGGGGGATCTCTTGTATCCTTTATTTCTCAACCCCTGCAGTCTCGCTTCTAGATTCACCATTTCATTGAAACTAGGATTGTCAAGGACTTTTATGATTTCTTGGTTGCCAAATCCAATGCACACTTTATTTTCCTTCCATTTTTGAACCTTTTTTTAAATAAATTGGGTCTTGCTCTGTTGTCCAGGCTGGAGTGCAGTGATGTCATCATAGCTCACTGCAGCATCGAACTCCTGGCCTCAAGTGATCCTCCTGCCTCAGCCTCCCAAGTAGCTGGGACTATAGGTGCACACCACCACAGCAGGCTAATTTTTAAAAACTGTTTGGTAGAGACAGGGTCTCACTATGTTGCCCAGGCTGGTCTTGAACTCCTGGCCTAAAGCAATCCTCCTGCTCAGCCTCCCAAAGTGCTGGGATTATAGGTGTGAGCCTCTGCACCTGGCCCGTCCTTGAGCAGTTGATAGTGTGGCCCACGCCTCCCTTCTTAAAGGCCTCTTTTCTCTTAGCATCTCTGGCTCTGCTCCTCCAGGTCCACCTCTGACCTTTCGGGTCTTTCCTCTTCTCACCTGTCCCCTGGTTGCTGTTCCCCAGGAATCTATCTTGGGCCCTCTTCACATCTAACTCTGCACAATCTACATGGGCAATCTCATCTACCCCGTAGCTTCAACCCACAGATATGCCCAAATCTGCCTTTCTGGCCTAAACAGCATTTAGGGCCAGACCCATTGCTCGAACTGCCTACTGGACCTCTCCACTCGATGTCCTATAAGGACCTCAAACTCAAAATGTCCCAAACTAAACTTGACATCTTGGCTCCTGCCTGCCTTCCACACCCACTCTGAACTGGATCCTCCACTTTTATTCCTGACCTTGGTTACCTAAGCCAGAAATCTGGAACTCATCCAAGCCTCTTCCTGTCCTTTTTTGGCCCCTTTCCACCTGCCACCACTTCCTTAAACCCTGAGATTTGTCCCCCTCTCCATCGTCATTGCCAGCTTGGTTCAGGCTCTCGTGCCTGGCCACTAGATTATGGCTCCCTAACCAATCTCCGCACCCGCAGTCTTGCCCCCATGTGGCCTCCCATTTATCAGCTTTGAATCTTCAGTGCCGCCCAGTCCCCCAGCCTCGGGATAAAATCTAAGCTCCTTAGCATGGCTTACAGCCTTTTGTGACGTGGCCCTCGCCCTCCTTTCTGGTCTCCTCCCTCCCACTTCGCCACACATCCCGAGCACCCTCTGGTACATCAGGCGCCTAGCAGCTCCTCACACTGGTGGCACTGTCTCTACCCTGTGCCACCGCACCTGCTGTTTCCTTTTTCTAGAACACTCCTTTGCCCACTATTCTACCAAGCTCACCCCTATTGCCCCACAACGCCCAGTTCAGAAGTCGCTCCCAGGAAGCTTTCCAAAGTGTCCCCTCCCTGGCAAAGGTGAGCCTCCTCTAGGCTGCCATTAGCATCAGCTGTGGCATTTGTGTTTTTTATATATATATATATATTTTTTTTTTTTTTTTTTTTGAGACAGAGTCTCACTGTGTTGCCCAGGCTAGAGTGAGTGCCGTGGCATCATCCTAGCTCACAGCAACCTCAGACTCTGGGCTCAAGCGATCCTCCTGCCTCAGCCTCCCGAGTAGCTGGGACTACAGGCATGTGCCACCATGCCCGGCTAATTTTTTCTATATATTTTTAGTTGTCCGATTAATTTCTTTCTATTTTTAGTAGAGACGGGGTCTTGCTCTTGCTCAGGCTGGTCTCGAACTCCTGAGCTCAAACAATCCTCCCGCCTCGGCCTCCCAGAGAGCTAGGATTACAGGCGTGAGCCACCACGCCCGGCCAGCTGTGGCATTTCTTAAACTGCATTTTAATTGTCTGCTTGCCAGTCTACTGCCCCCAAAGGACTATAATCCATTTGGAAAAGGAATTGTTTCTTTGTCTCCAAACCCCTAGTGCCTGGTAGAGGGTCTGGGACATAGAGAGTGCCTGATACATGTTTGCCGAATTAATGAATGATTGAATGAATGTGGTGAATGAATGATCAACTGTGTCTTTTAGCATTTGGGTCTGCCTGGTTTTTGTCCCTGCTGCCGGGTATCTGAAGTGCAGCCTGCCCTGAACCTTGCTTGGCCTATGCAGGGACTGCTGCCCACCCGCTGTGCTGCTGACCCCATGGCCTCAGCTGCGTCTTCCCGGCAGCACGTTCCTGGATCTCCCAGGCTCAGCCCTTTGCCCACTTCCCACGCACTGGTAACAAGGCTGTTACGGTGACAGCATAAATTAGTGATTTGGTTACATGCAACAACAAGCAGAGATGTGAAAGCAAAAGATTTTGATCTGAAAATCATTGCTTCAAGATTGATTTTAAGAGTTTTCAAAGTCATATCGCCAGATGCCAGTGATTTTTGTGATCTAAATCTACCAGGACCCATCAAGTACGGGAGGCCCACCCTTTGTAACGGCGTACATGTTCTTCTCTTGACGCTACCATGGCTCAGATTTATTACGAGGTGAATGGTGAGGAGGGGCAGTCAGAAGTAATAGAGCCCCTGAGAAGGAAAGAAGGCTAAATACATGCAGAGACAGTCCCAAGCTCTGTCGGCCTCGTAAACAAAGACAGTTTAGTCTTCAGCAAAACTTTCCACTCCCATCACTGCAGAGAAACATGGCGCTATGAAGTCATCGACATTTTCCCATGTCAAATTCCTTGATACAGATTTTTAAAACTAGATAAAATTAATTACCAGTCTCTTGTCTTGCAAATGACAGGGAGAATCCTGTTTTATTCTTTTGGAAAATTCTTGTACCTGCAGTGAAAAAAATGTAATCTTTCATTAATGGCATGGTGTCTCATGTTTGAATTTGGGTACTTCAATAATTTATAACAAGCTTTATAAGTATTACTTTAGCCTTCAGTTGGTCAGTCTGTTCTTTTAACTTCTGACACATCTGTTTCCCTTGAGATATCTTTTGAAATATATTAGAAGAACTTGAGGAAGGGTCTCTCTGAGAGGTCGATGACACCTTAAGGAGGCTTGTCTCAGATTCTGTTCCTAAATAAGAAAGAATACATGTTGGCTGCCATTCATTTCAACTCATCACAGTTTTATTAAGTACTGAAAACAGAAGGCTGTAGCAGCTACCACCACTTGCTATTTTTTAAAATCATTTTCAAAATATGTATCTAAATCAAAGAAGTCTTAAAATGTTAGTACCTGTGAGCAGTTCTTGTTGGGTATGTCCTGTAGGCTCCATCTGCACAGTTAAAGGGTAAGAAAACATTACTGTTGATACTGATCAATGACACCATTATTCAGAATGACCCTACGTGTTCTGGTCATCACACAGGCAGCCCAGTGTTGTGGTCAAGAGCCGGGGCCATGACACAAATGGGGACAGTAAGTGACCTATCTGATGGGGTTGTTACGGCAATTAAATGTTAAATATCTGCCATAGCAACAGGCATGTGGCAAGCATTTAACAATACACGTTATCTGTATTACTGCCGTGCTTGGTGCTAGCATGTGGAATGCTCACACATTTCTCTTAAACTAGACCATGAGCCCCATGAGGGCAGGGGCCGTTGTCGGCCTTGTCCCTGGTGCTCTCTCAACACCAAACACATAGTAGCTAGACTCTGGAGAATAATACAGCATGCATTAAGTTCCAAAGCATGTGAAGATGGTGATTATTTTCTACTCACCACAGGCTGGTTGGACAGAGGTTTAAATTCCAGAGTGATTCACCCTGGGAGTCCTCCCTTTTCCTCCCTAACACGTGAAGATCAGAAACACGCTAGTGCCAGAGAGCTAAATGGTAGCGGTCAAAATAGACTCTGGTCATTACAGATGTCTCAAGTATATGATGGATGTGAAACCTGTAGGGTCTAGTTCTCCAACCTGAATTGATGGGACTGGAAAAAGTCAGATAGCTGACCTCAAATTCCCACTGCAGAGAAAGATGAGCCTGCCATCCACGTTGCTCCTACTAACCAGGGCGCGCCAGCGCTGGGCACAACAGGGATGTTCTCCTGCAGGCAGAACAAGAAGCCCCGAGGCTTCCAAATACCACAGGGGTGTAGATTTCTCCAAGACTTAAAGAAGCATCCTGGTCATGGCCAGGTGGCGCTGCTGGCTCCAGGTGTGTGGGGGGCAGGGGCGGGGCTTCTGCTCAAACTCCCCAGAGCATTTCATTGGAAGAGAAGGGAGTTGAAGCATGAGGGATGGAAATGGAATAGGGCAGATAATATCGTTTAGTCCAGGACACCCTTTGTATAAAGCTTCAAAGAAAGATCATACAGTCCTGGCAAAGTGCCAAAGAACTAAAATGTTTATTTTGATTATCAGTGTGGATTTACCTTACCATTGAACCTCAATAATCAGTGAGATCCTGAGCCTTAGCATGCTGGGAAGTTGAGGAGGGGTGAGAAGATGGGGTAAGGGAAAGGGGGGAATAGCATAAATTAAGCATCTACAAAGTTTTGTACTAAATGGTTACCAATATAACACATTTGACATCTGTTATTAAAGATCTTGATCCAACTCAGCATCAATAACCAAGGGCGTAATATATGTGAGACACAAGGCCAGGCCTCTGGGGGAAGGTGGGCCGTGGAAAGACGAAGATGAGATTCTGCCCTCCAGAGCTTTGGATCCGGTGGGAAAAACAGACACCTCCAGGTTGCGATGACCAACTCTGGCTCTGACAGCACTAAGCAAACGAGGATGGAAAGGGTGTGACTTGGGGGGCCTGAAAAGTTACGTGGCCCAAGGGGGAACTGAAGGAGGCCACGAAAACAAGCAGGTCTTTGGTAAGTAGAGACGGAATGTGCCACACAAGGCAGGAGCTCAGAGGGTTCGGGGCCTGACAAGAGGTTCGGGACCACCCGGGCAACTGAGGGCGACTCCTGGGGAGGGGAGCTAAATTTTTAAAATGGGGAGACCCAAATTCCAGCCTGAAGAATTTGGATTTTATTTTGTCATGTGCTTTCGTCAGGCCAGCCCTTGAGTCTCCTCATGAAGGTATTCACTGGGCTTCTGGGAGGTCAAGTCACCTGCTCAGGCTAACCCCGGAGGCTGAACGAGGCCTCAGAACTAGAACCAAGCCCCATGCGCCCTCCACAAACCCACACGGAGACAGACGAGCAGTGGCTCTGCTTCTGTATTTACGGAGACTGTTTTCACTTACCTGTAATTGTCGTGAAGGTTCAGTCATTTTCCCCGTCTGCTCTTGATGTCGTCTTTCAACACACTTTGGCTTAGGCATGGTTTCTAAAGTATCTTGCACCATGGCTGATTTACTTCTCAATTTAGGAGAAAAGCTGGCTTGTTTAGCTGTTGTAAATGGTTTATTAACTATGTTATTTTTAGGAATTTTCACTTTGGGAGCAGCCTTAGAGAAATCAGGGAGCCGGTAATGGGCGTGACCTTGGCAGCATTTGAATGCACTGCCTGAGCCTGCTTTTTCAGTCTGCTGTTTCTGGGGCGACTGCCCTTGACAGCTTTTTTGTTTATCACTTGGACCCTTGATTTTAGTTAGAATATTTGAATTTTCTTGATGGCTGCTATCTCCAGCGGCCACCGGCTCTTCTAAATCAGAGGTATTTTCTTCTGCCATGTTCAGAGAACAACTGGGCTCATTGCTGTTTTCACCATCGCTTTCGGGGTTAAGTTGGTCAGTGAGTTCTGAGGTTTGTTCTTTTGGCCAAGAGTTCTTAACATAACATGAAACAATGTTTTTCATAATAGCTGCTTCTTCGAAACTGTCAGCATTTGAGATCTCTGGGGGAGTTTCACAGTCGATGCCTGGACCTCTTAAGAAGTGCTCTTCGGAAAGATGATGGAGTAAAATGTTGGAAATGTTGGACTTTGAGGTGTCTCCTTTGTCAGCTGGAATGTGGGGAGTTACAGCGGCGCATTGCTTCTCTTTGTCATGTTTTCTGTTGACAGGACTTTCAGTAATTTTACCCAGAGGCATGGCCTTCGCTGTGTTTGTGCGGGTCTTGTCATGTGTAGCCTTCTCTTGAGGGCCATCTGCTGTTAAAATGGTTTGATGTGAGCCCTCGAGGATGTCATTTTTTGAGGTAAAGTCATAATCACCCCCGTCATAAGGCAGCTCCTCCTGCTGCTTACAAGTTGTATCTTCTGAAAAATCGGCGTCGTCCACGTCGGTGCAGCCCGACCTCTCCCGTCCCCTGCCGCCTGGTCTCAGGCTCTTAATCGTAGCCGCAGGTGTGGTTTGCGCCGACTGTCTCCATCGTGCGTCCTGTTCGGCGTGAAAGGAGAGCAGCCTCGTTGTTAAATGTGCGGGAATAGCGCATGAGACTCTGCCTACGCTGGTGTCTGTGCCAGAACTAAATGGATGTTTTTCATTTAAGGAACTTCAGTGAGAAACACGAAGGCAGAAAGCTCAGCCAAGAGCTAACCCATCCTGAATACCGAGTTATCATAATCAGGGGTTTTAGGCCACTGCCTCTACCGTGAGGAATAGAAAAAAAACAGAGGGGACTGCTAAAATTTTCATTCACTTAAACTTGAGGTACAGTTAATGACTAAATATTTATCAACCTCCCTTAGGAAACACTATTTGGAGTTTGTTTTCTCAAAATGGGATCTTGGGATGCAAGTAAAGGACCGATTTTTTTAAAGTGCCTTGGCTGTCCCTTGTCCACGCATCACCAACAGGCCTGTGAGTCGTGTGGCACTGGAAGCTGGCTCAGCTCAAACTCAACACCGACCTTCCTGTCCTGGTGCTTTTTCAGCTGTCCCTCCAGACGTTCTGGTCCCCTTCTCCTGACTTCCCCTTGTGTGTTCGAGAGGGGCAGAGAAAGATTGACAGAAATATGACCAAGGGGCAGACAGGCCTTTTGAACACAGGAGGCCGGTCTGCAGCCAAACATCTCTCTCCTAGTGAGGACCGGGCAGGCACCTGGTCAGAAAAGGCGTCCTCCCCTGAGCAGTCCTGACCAGCTGGAGGCTGGAGGTGGCAGAGAATTTGGGGGATATTCCTGAAATCGGTCAGAACAAAACCAGCTGCCACTTGGGTACGTGAGTCCTTTTTTCTTTTTTTTAAACAAAATTTCAAACACACATTTAGATATCTCTTCTCGATTTGTGAACTTTTGGGACAACTCCTCAGAAGTAGTAAAATGATCTCGAGTTTTAGGTGGAGTAACCGGAGCTCCAGGCGGGACAGGAGTAGCCCGGGCTTTGCAGTTCAGCAGCCCAGGGTGACCACAGCCGCTGGCGGCCTCTCTCGCCCATACAATTACAGGTTGGGTGAGCAGATCTCTGAGGTTCTCTCCTCAACCAAATTTTTATGAGTCTATAAACTTGTGATTTATTAGAAAACCTCAAAAGCTAAAATAGTATGTTTGACCAAAAAAAATTCTTTTTAAGCTAAGTTCTCTGAAGTAAAAAGAGTACAAACTAAATGTGGTAAAGGCATCTGTGAAACATTGTACAAAAATCTTAATTTCTAGATACGCGCCAATGCTAGAGAACCCAAAACAAAAAGACACTTTTTAGAGAGAGGGGGAAAGAGAGAGATCACCGTAGAATTAGTTTAAATAATTTATAGAGGCAGTATTTACTAAAAAGTGAGGTACATCTTCACGAACAGAATGACAGGCTACTCTGACGCAAGAGGAAGAACAAGGGAAAATGCTTCCCAGGCAAGCACAGGCACAGTGGGAAGCAGGAGTCGAGAGAGCCGGATTTGAATTCCGGCTTCTTCACTTGTTAGTTTTGTGTCATCTGGCAAGTTATTAATATTTAACTTTTCTGAGTCTCTGTTTCCTCTTTTGAAAAATAGGAAGAGCAATACTTGAGATAATGCACGTGAAGCACTTGGCACAGGGCGTGGCACAGTGTGAGAATTCAAAACATGGTAGTTTGAAAATGAAAAACCAAAACCAGTCTCAGTGTTGGAATACCGAAGAATGCCCGGGTCCGGCAGGTGAGGCACTCCTTACGTGCGGGGGGATTTAAAGGATAAAGGAAGGAATTGAAGGCATAAGACATACTCTCTTACAGAGCCTTAAAACTATTTTTAAAATCTACCCGCAAATGAACATATTGTTTGAAGGTAAAAAAAAAGAATCACTAAATAATTTTAAGCAAAACAGTGTCATTTTTGAGAACAGAAAAAGGAGAATATGTTTAAATACCTACAGAGAAAAGAGAAAAAGATGACAAATTCTAGTTTTGCAGGACTTTTAATGACCCAAACTACACCCCCAAAGTCATCCTCGTGCTTTCTTTGTACAGTATTTTGAGAAGCTCATTGCTGAGCTCCAAGCCCTTCCTGTTAAGGAAGAAAAGACACATTGTTGGCTAGATTGTAGTTTCTAAAATATTATTCTGTTTAAACTGATAGAATTTGATTTTTACTCTGACTTTTTTGTTTTTTTTTTTTTGAGACAGAGTCTCGCTCTATCGCCTAAGCTAGAGTGCCGTGGCGTCAGCCTAGCTCACAGCAACCTCAAACTCCTGGGCTCAAGTGATCCTCCTGCCTCAGCCTCCCGAGTGGCTAGGACTACAGGCACTTGTCACCACACCTGGCTAATTTTTTCTATTTTTAGTAAAGACAGGGTCTTGCTCTTGCTCAGGCTGGTCTCGAACTCCTGAGCTCAAGCAATCCTCCCATCTTGGCCTCTCAGAGTGCTAGGATTACAGGCGTGAGCCATCACACCCAGCCTTTTTGCTATGACTCTTAAGAAAAAGAAAAAAAGACACCACCAAGATAAGCCAGAAGCCTGAGGAACTCTCTAATTATATATAGGAAAACAGCTTCTGTTATTATTATTATTATTTTTTTTGAGTGCATATAAAATATCAAGAGAATTTTTCTGGAAAGGGACAGTCCCTATCCTTAGCATTGTAATGGGCCTTACAGATAGCTGGAAGGAACTGGAACATCTTCCCACATCAACACCCAGCTCAATCTTGGAATCCAAAGGCACATCCAAAGAGATTCCGGTCAGAACCCAACAGAACCTTTCTGTGGAATTCAATGTGATTTACTGAAGTCAGGTGAGTATATTTGGGGCCATGACTGCTCTGCAGCTATACTGACCATTGTGTGTTCAGCAACGGCTCACAAGCCCCTCTGAGCGTGGGACACTTTGAGCAACCAGGGGCAGGACATCACAGTGCCCCAGCCTGTGAAAACACTCCAGTCCAGGACCTGAGCAGGGATGAACACCAAGGTGATCACCATGCTGACAGCCATTCCCTGTGTGGTTTATTTTATCATGAAGTCTAAATTTGGAGATGAAGTGCCGGCCTAAGTCACTAACCTGTCTATTTAAGAGAAGAAGATAACCACGGCTGGGATGGCTGGCAATCGGATGGATTCAATTAAGAATATCTTTAGATGGGAAAACCCAAGCTCCTTAGTGGTGAGAGACCAGAGATGGTCAGCAAATCCGGTTTCTGGCTGGTAGGTGATATTTCTTCTAGTCACTAAGCCCATTTAGTGATAATACAATTTTACATATTAGAGGACTGTTCCATCACCAAAGGAAACCTGTGGGGCCATGTGCTTACAACAGTCTCTCAACCTCATCCCCACTACCCTCTGTTTTGTGTTTAGACCTCTGCTAGCCAGGCAAACTGGGGAAGGTGTACAGGACCCAGATGTAGAGGAGAAAGCAGGAATTGTTTCTACTCACCCTTTCCTACCTCCCTCCCCTGAAGTACCAGTTAACACAGACACAAAACACTCACAGGTCCTACTCCCCACGCTTCTAAGATCAGCCCTACTGACTTTGTAATGACAATAAGAGTTGGCTGTTGGAGGCAATGATTCAGCAATCCAAACAGAGATTTGTCATTTAGACTGTGACTAGATTACAGTTAAAAGCTTTCAGTGCATGATTCATTGATGTTTTGTACTGCACAAAGCAATATGCTGCTCTAAGTCTTCAACCAACACAATGCTACCGTCAACACAAAGAGCTAAAACAATGGCAGTAACGATAGGAACTCACCAACATCTTGGGGTCTCTGGATATCTCAGAGTGAACAAGTTGAAGGGCCTTGCAACACAGATGATCAATCCTTTAACTCTAAATCATCTTTTTTTCAATAGATGGAAGTTGACTGCGATTGAATAATAGAACAAAAATGAAGCTTCAAAGTCGTGGTATATCTGCTTCGTCTGGGCTCCTTAACTGCAAGAAATCAGCTCTGAAGACCACATAGGGAACTTCTAATGTGATCTAAACTTTAGTCTTTTCTTCTTTTTTTTTTTTTTGTCCTTTAAGAGCATTCAAAACACTTGGTTTGACTCTGTTTTAATTTTCACATTCTCTCCCTCTGTTTCTAGCCAGGATTTCTATTTACCCATGAAAGAAAATAGGAGATGGCTCAGAATGCTACGTCCTAGGCCACGCCCAGGGGCCAGGTATTCACGGATTTTGCACACAGTGTATGGTGTTTCTAGATTAAAATATTTTCAAAGGTGATGTGATACAGGCCTCCTCTGCAATGACTGCATTTGGTTACGCTCGGTAATCCTATCAGCTGACTTCATTTCAGAAAGGTGGGGCGTCCACAATGCAATGTCTCTGTCTGTAACCATATCCGTTCAACGTGGCAGTCTGGCTTCGCCCTGTCATTGTGGAGTGGCAGAAGGGAGACACCGTGATGGGGCAACAAGTCAATTCGATACTCCCACGAGAGCCAGATGGATGCATTATTTATAGTCAGTCTTAGAGATGGAGTCCTTTTGTGAGTGTGCATGAATTTGATGACAAGCTGTTAAAAATTTGATATTCTGAAACTATTTTAAAAGTCAGGAAAAGAAAATCTTTGAAACCATAAGCAAACCAGTATTTGGAGAAACTTCCTCTCCATGTTCTATCAGCAGCCTTCGCCGGTTTTCCTTGCTCTTCGGGAGGTCAGCGCTGCCTTTTGTCCAATTTTCCCGTTGACATAGCCATGCAATCATCGTAGTCTGTCTAATTTGTACTGTAAATCATGAACCTTTGCTGTGCTTTGGGAACAGTTAGAAAACTCTTGCCAATTGATTTTCTGAAAATAATTCTAACCATAAACTTTAAAACACACTGATTTAAAGAAGTATAATTTTAAAAAAAACAACAAAAAAATGCCTCATCCCTGAAACTTCTCTGTCCTTCCCTAAGCTTTCCAGCTTAAGTTTGGCAACCTCTGCCTAGAGATAAGAAGGGCCAGAATATTTTAGGAAAACCCTTCCTCCCTTATCTAAAGATTTATCCTTCTCTCCTCTGCCCTCTACCC